ACAGTCCCTTCAAAAACAGGACATCACTGGCAAATATTAGACACTGAAAATGTAATCTGTGGAACTTTGTATAATCAGTATGAACTTTCTGTTTAAATTTTTATCATGTTTTTCCTTCATCAGATGATGTTTACTTTCACCTTCCATGTACTCATGATATAGCCCCTTTTCAATCATTTAAGTTCAGCCAAGTATCCATGTGCTGTGGGAGGTCTCTGAAATTACCCAACGGTAGTTTCAGCTCAGCTGACAAGCTAGCATTATAGCTGAAGTCCGTAGCGCTGGAGTAGCAGATGATGAGCCTGCAGCTCTCTCACATTTCTAGTCTCCTCCCCAAGCTAATCCTCCTACTTTGATCTTGCTGGGGAGGGCTGAGACTCTGGGAGTACTTCCAAGGGGTAATAGTGAACACAGAGGAACCCTGGGAGCTCTGGCCTGGGTTTTGTGTTAGTGTGAGGATGGGTGCAGACAACATCACGCTGCTCCTGCGCGAGGAGGAGCTCCCCAAAACCCTTCTTTCAAAGGGTGGACCTCTGCCTCCATGCTGCACACAGAGCACAGAAACACACACAGAAGTGCAGGGACACACGTACACATCCTGGACAGGCATGAACAGTCCCTCAGCTGCGCAGGTTCCTCCTGGCATTTGTGGAGGAGCAGAGGGTGACATCGTGATGCCAGGTAGCTCTGTAGCACAGTGAGGTGGGGCCTGAGAAGTCGCTGTGGGAAGCAGACAAGGAGCGCCTGGGCTTTAGGAGCCTGGCGTTTATTTCCTGGCTCCCCATCAGTGTCCAGCACTAATCACCGCCTCCAGCTGGAGTTGTGTTTGATTGCTTGACACCTGATAACCTCTGGGCTAAACTATCTCCAGTGGCAGTATTGAGCTTTTCCACCAAAAGAAACAGCACAGGAAAAGAAAAAAAAAAAAAAAGAAAAAAGCTTTCCCTAAGGAATATTGTAAAACTCTATACAGATAATGAAATAAAAAATCCAATTTTTAGAATACAAAGGTGTAATAACTTACAGATTCAATACTCTCTCTTCTTCCTGATCATTATTATACTGCAAATGCAGGGAAACAGGTCTGAGGTCTGGTTAATGCTCTTTAAAAGTGCTCTTTAAAACTGAATAAAATTCAGAGGATTTTACTTCCTCTTCGGATATACATACCAGAAGATTAGGTATTTCTGCTCATCAATAGGGCAGTCTTTTAAAGATCTACATAATATCGGATGATCTTTTGCTTTACATGTGAATATTTTTCTCTGCTATAAATAATAGAATAGTGAAAACATCCTGCACAGTTTACTGGAAGGGCGGAAAAATGCATTCAGTATAAACATATAAGCAAATGGTCTACTAAAATAAAGCTTCCACCAAAGTAATATATTTTCGAAAGCATTTTCAAATTTTATTTGTAAGAATGACATATGGAATGTAAAGCATGTTCCAGTAAGGAAATATATTGTGTTTTGGTCAGTAAATGTACCTTGTATATTTTCTTAGCTCTGTTTGCCAAACCAAATTCCCCCGACAACTCAAACTGCTGCAACACTGTGAGTTAACACTCAACGACTGTCACAGAAAAATGTGCCAAAGATGTTTAATCACTAAATATAGGGGAAAAAAATCTCCATGACCTACTGACCAGACATTTCTTGGCAATCGCTAATCAACCGTGTTAGCCTTTTATTGTCTATCCTACCATTATCTTCCAGGAAAGACCCGAACAAGAGGTCAGCGCAGCTGCAGTAGGTGTAAGTTCATTTGTTTTCTTCCGGGCAGTAGGCTGCAGTGAACAGGCTGTTCTCATCTGAACGTGGAAGGCTTCAGCTTAATTATTTGGCGTGTTTATTTACTTTGGACAGCCAGAAGATAAGGATAGTTTCTGGTGGGGTCATTTTTGAGAATAATTTTCAGTGCTTTCTAGGAGCATTCTTCCTTTTTTTTTTTTTTTTTTAAGTTCCATAGTTGGTAAATTGTGAACTGCTTCACTGAAACTTTGCAGAAGCAGGACATTAAGAAAAGGTACCTGGTTAGTATGCATTTAGACTGTCTCTGTTCAGGGAATACTATTTTTACCTCTGCATATGCAATTACATATACATTCTTTTCCTGAAAATAAAAGACTATTTCTTGGCTTAAGGACTCAGGGCAAGGAGGAACTCTCTTCCTTTCTAGAAATATACGAGCAAAAAAGAAGGGGAAATGGTAGGAAGAAATCAGGTGACAGTGGTCTCCTGTCATGCAAACTAACTGTGTAGAATGGAGGCAATGGTAGTGTGTGCTTGTAGCTTCAAGTGACTGCTTCTGAAATCCTCCATGTTTTAATGCGAATTTTGTTTGAAAGATGTCGTTTTCTTTGAAAAGGGTTCATTGTTCAACTTTTATGTGATTTTGCCAAACCATTAATAACTGCTGGAGCAGTGGGTTTGTTCTAGGTGATCTCCAGTGTTCCCATCCAAACTCAGCTGTTCTGTGATACTGTGAAGAGGAAACTCAGAAGGCTGTTTTCTGCCTTTCTGGTAATCGAAGTGTCTGCTTAAGATTTGGGGGTTTGTCTCTCCCTCTCTCTCTTGCTGTGTTCATGCCTTTATGGAAGCCAATACAGGCTGCTCCTTCAACCCCGTCTCCAACAGGGAGGCCCTTGAGGGCTTTAGCCGGCAACCAAAGAAGAGTTGCTTTAGCTCTTAGGTGATTGCCAGGAGGGCCCCTCAAGCTCTTCTGATCCCCAGGCAGGGAAGGTAGCCCTCCCTTCGCTCAAGGACAATAGTAGCAATGGAGATCTCCTTCTACTCAAGAAAAAGTGAACCAGCATCAAAGAGCTGCCTGTCTTCTGAGACAAACCATGTGGTAATAAAAAGATCAGTTTTCCCTGGCAACAAGAGGTACACGGATTTGACCTCCCAAGGCCTTGCTTGCAAGGCTTTATGCTCTTCTCTCCCTTCTACACAGCACCCATTTCCAAGCAATCTGTTAAACAGTGAAGTTTACTTCCCGTTCCCCAGAGTGCTTACTTGTAGCTCCCTGTCTGCAAAGACAAATCTCATTCTGGTAATGTCGACACTGACGTAGAGGATTAGCCTGGAGTCTATTCCCTGCCAATTACAGCTGTATGTGCCACCTTTTCCCTCTTCTCCCCGAAGGCTGCACCAAAGCCATCTGTTTGGTACCACTGTTTTTTCATCAGGAATAATGCCCTAAACTCTGTGTTAAAACTTAAATCTTCTAGGAATTGCTTTTTGAACTGTCTCATGTGAGACAGCAGGGAAAGGCGCAAAAGAAGAGGGAATTTGTGGGTTGCATCTGGTGCACTTTGAGAGCGGAGAGGCATGAGCGGGGCCCTGAAGAGCTGTGCGTAGCAGGGATAACCCTATGGAGCACAGCACCCGTCAGCTGCACTTCTGAACAAGCTCTGGGCGTTTTGGTGAGGCTGGACTGAGCCCCACCAGTCTGGTGCCAAGACAGAAGGTGCCAGAGTTGTCTTTCCTTTAACAGCATGCTTGTATTGCACCGTACTGGACAGCTCAGCCTCCAGGAGCAGGTTGCCTGTCAGACCTGGGCTTTTAACATCTGTGGATTTCAGTAAGAAGCTCGAGTTTTACATCATTTGCAAAATTCAGGCTTTGAACTCTGGCATTTGGATTAGATGTTTATACATATACATATATATCCTATTTCTTGTTTGTAAAGTTCCCTTTTCACTACATTGCTTCAAAGCAGCTGTCATTGCACCTGTTTATTTTCTGTCTGATGCTCCTTGTGACAAATAACAGCCATCCTTTTATTTTCAATCATTACTGAAAGATAACTGAAAACTGCAGCTACTGGGACATGGTTATCTTTTCTTTTACATGAGGTTTTTCTTCTACTGTGACTCAGTGAGAGAAACATTTATGCAACTAATAAAACATAAACAAACATAAACAGAAATACCATGTTCTTGTTGGATGAGTTTTTGGGATAGAACTAACATAGGGTGCTGCTGATACCGAGATGATGGCAAAAGGGGATTATTATTCCCCCCCACACTGCCCACAATGTGCTTTCCTCCCAAAGTATGCTCTTTGGTTGATACTAACAACCCTTTTCATGATCAGAAACAGGGAAGTCTACTGGGTTATAGAAGCAAAATTTGGATAAAAATACTGAAGTTAGTAAAGGCTGGCATCTTTATCAATCCCTGTGAAAGGACAGTCTTGCAACTGTTTAGTCAAAGGCTATAGCACTTGCCAAGACTCTTGTGTTAACAGCAGTGAGTTTAGATTTTCTTCATCAGTTTGATGGTCAAAGTGATGAAGTAATGACTAATAACTTAGGTCTGTTCAATCTTGTTCTATGAATATAACAATATATAGTTGCATATTTCATTGAGGAATATCAAATATTAGGTGAAAAAGAGATATAAATCTGAGAGTGCAATAAAGTTATGAACAGTCAATGCTACGGTCCTGTCTGTCCCACAAGGATTAGTATTTCATTGTATTTTTTGGCTTGTAGAAGTCATAAAACCCACAAATGCACAACGTAGAAAATATTTCAAAAATAAAAAGTCAAAAAAGCTCATTTGCTAGAACTGCCTTTTATTTACAGTGTATCATTTTAATCTTAAAAACTTACTTTCAATGGCACACAGCTTTCAGAATCATTGCCTTGCTTCTGAAAACAAAATAATCCCCCCATCAATTTGTGCTTCTCTAGTTCAGGCTTTTCAATCATACAGAATATCTGACTCTATCTTCCTATTTTTTGTCAAAAGTTTAACAACACAGTGCTGCAGCAAGATTGCATGTTATGAGGATCCTACTCACAAAACAGATTTACAGCACAGTAAATACTAATTCATTAATTCCATCATAAATTAAAACTGTAATGAAAATGTTTATATAAATACACAGTGTAGCTTTTGTGATCTTATACCATTTCCTTCTTGTTTGTTCATTTATAGCTCAGTTCACAAGAGCATCATTAGTGCAAATTAATAAGATTTTACTTCACAGTTATTTTGTAAAGGAATGTAGTGAATGACTCTGGGAAAATCCTCTTCTCTGGGACCTGGAGGTTTGGGCTGCTGGAAGAAAAACTGCCCCAGTTCTTAAGGAATTTAAAGGCAGGGAGTTAGACTTCTTAACACCTTGAGAAACTTGATTAGATGGTAGCTGATCTGGAGAAAAAAGAGTGCTCAGATAGTGAGAAACATGACATTTAAGCTTCACATCTTTCAGTATTTTTTTCTTTTTGGATGAGTGAGCAAAGAAGAATTTAGTAGTTGTTTCAATTTTTGTGTAACCTCCTAATCTAGGAAGCTCTAGGTTACTTTTAGTAAACTTTTCACTATATATATATATATATTTAATTCTGGTTTCTTATCTGAGATTATCTGAGCTTATTTTCATTATTTCATTATTTTCATTATTTTCCTATGAATATACTTATTTCTTTCATAGTTTTTCAGAGTTTATTAATGATATACATTCCTGAGTTTGTGTGCTTATAATACACCCTTAACGTGATTCTTCAAAACCATTTTTATTCTCTCTCCTTGAAGTTATTTTCACCCAGATTCAATTTTATTCATGAATTGTTGTTTGATTTGTTTGTGCTCTGCATTTCATTAATATCCTATGTCATCTTATCATCCATTTTTTTTACCTTTTCTAGATGGTTTATACCAATTACCACTGGTCTTTTAATCATGATATGCTTCAGTCCTGTATCTGTTATTCCTATACTGCCTCCCATAGTATCTTGCATTCGGAGTTCCAATTCCTCCATTTTTTTTTCCACAAGCTCTTCACCTCCCTGTGCAAACAGTACAGTTTTTCCAATCTAACCGTATCAGAGTTCCCAAGTAGAGTAAGTGCTATTTTGGCTACGGAATCTTCCTTGCCTTTTTTGATGTTAATTTTTCCTTGGTTGCATTCTCATTACATCAGCCTTTTCTGCTCCCCTTCTTCTGTCATGCTGAATGTATGAGAGTCTGTTAAGGTTTGCCCCCGGGAGGATGGTTCTAGGTTCATCCTGCCAGTCAGGGCAGGCTCCAGAATGTTATTTGGATTATCTGGCTAACTTCGTGGCTCCATCATTTAGGACTACCCACAAGTGCTTCCTAGTGGTCCAACAAGCTCCTCTCTGAGTCACCTGCTTGTCCTCAGACTGCTGCCATGCTTTTGTCTCAATTCTTTACAGGCAGGAAGAATCCTGCTATAAAAAAACTCTCAAAAAGACATCTTTTTCTTTCTGACATTATCATTCCACCTCCTTGAGTCTTCATGTTTCCATTTTTTTCTGACATCGCCTTTGTTTATTCCCTTTCTGTAATCTCTGACAGAAATTTTCCTGATGTAGATTCTGGTAAATTCCACAGAAATGAGGATTGGACAAGGGTATTCTCTCTCATGTCTATGGAAGTCTTGTGTAATTCCAGAAAAATGTGTTCAATTAATCTAGATTTAGACTGGGTTAATGGAGGATAAACTGATAAATGATCTCATTTTTTATTAGAAATGAAAGACCATATAAGCAATTGGTATGAACTTGGTAGCTACTAGAGAAAATGCATCTATGATAAACTGGAGCTCACAAATCCCTTTTAATCTTTAAGTGCTCCCCCTCAAAAATAAAACAAAAAACAACAACAACAAAAACACGTTAAAGCTTCAACACATTTGAGGAACTCATGGATTGAGTAGTTGATTGAGGGTCTGGAGGGCTGTAGCAAAAGGAAAGGAGAAAGAAGAAAAGAGGGAAGGGAAAGGAAAGAAACGGAAGGGAAGGCAAGGCAAGGGAACTATCTATATGGATAAATCCTTTGTGATGGGCTTAACTAGGGAAGAAGAAGGGGAGAGGTGAGGAGAGGGGAAGGGGAAGGGGAGAGTGGGGGAGAGGAGGGCAGAGGAGAGGAGAGGGGATTTGGGGAGTTTCAGATTACTTAACCAAACCTTCAAACCTATAAAAACTTCCTGCACTTAATGTTTCTCAAAAGTGGACCTCTGAACCTATGATATCTGCCTTCTCACTGCTCGTTAAGCAACGCCAAAAAGAATGACGGGGGCACTGGCTCAGTGAAAGTGAGAAATTATGTATTTTTAACAAGGAAGGAGAGTTAACTTTGCCACAAATTATAACAAGGAAAACAAGGTAGATCCATTACAGTGACATGAACACAGAGCTAATGGGAGAAAGGCACTCAAAGGGTAGTTCTTTCAAAAGAGAACCTGTGGAGGATTCATTGCATTCATAAATAGTGTAGATGAAAGGTGCACTTAAAAAAATCTGAAGATGGCAGTAAACGTGGAAGGTTGCAAAGACCCTGAAGGACAATTTTATAATGGAAGAAAATCTTGATAAAGAGGAGATATTATAAGAAATACAGATAATAAAACTCAACAAAGACAAATGCAAAGCACTGCACTTAGGAAAAACAAGAAAAATCACAAGCCACCAAAAACCCAAATGCAAAATGGGGAATAACTGGCTAGAGAAGTAACTGCCTTGCAGGTAACTAGACACACAGACTGTGTCCGAGTCAGAAATGGCGTGCAAAAGTTGAAGCAGAAACCCTACAGCTTCCCTAGCTTGGCGAAGCAATCACACCAGTCTCGTTGTACGAGCCCCACTGCGCCTATAGATTTACATAGTGGGCACTGGCAGAGCTCTGAGGCTCTGTGGGTTTGTTTTGTTTTTGTTTGTTTGCTTGTTTTTTACTAGATACATGCTGCAAAAGAGGCTGAAGTTCTTCTTGTCACTTGCTCATGTACTATCATATACTCGCTTTGACATTCACTATGTATTTAATAGGAGCAGTAACTCTCTAAGACTCACCAGGTTCCTGTTTGGGGCAATAATCAGAAAAATTTGAAGGTTTTTTTTTTCCCTTTTCAGGCTAATTTCAATGCACAATTCAAGTTGTGATGGCTTGAACAGGCAGTCCGGAACTAAAGCTGCCTGGCATTTGGCAATTCAGTGTAATTCATGGGTCATATTGAAGGTTCATTCATATTCAGTAGTAGTTCGGGAAGTGGCTTAGTTCTCCTTTGTAAAAAAAAAAAATAGGCCATCAATCTTTAGCTTGTAATGAGTTTGTCAGGAGCAAGTACAATAGCTCCGTTCATTATAGAGTATTTTGTGTTCTTTGAAATTGTGGCATGAAAAACAAATGCATATTGAGAGGGTCACCTGCTACTCTCTCTGGAGCATAAGCTCATGTTCATCCATGTGAAATTTCCACCAGTGTGAAAAATCTGCAGAATCCTTCTGTACTGGATAAATCCTTTGTGATGGGCTTAACTAGGGCATAAGTAGTTCGGTGTAATCTCCCCTGATGCACCGAGTATTCACCACAAACCGATGTTTCTTTAAAGAAACGAAGAACAGCACCCAAATTCCACTGTTGTCCATCTGTTCCTGCACACTGTATGTCGGACTCGCAGCTTAGGAGGACCTGGAATGATTTCAGGACTGGGTACAGGAATGACTTTAGGATCTAGTGACATGTAATGACAGGTATTAGATTTGTACTGCAACTTGCGAGTCTGGATCCAGACCTGGGATCTGAGAGGAGCAGAAGCCCAGTGGTTGTTCCCCATAAAACCAGAAGCTGTACACAGGAAAAGTGTCTGCAGTAATTCATATTCAGAGGGTGGAGTCGGTCACCCAAGGAAGAATGATGTTCAGGGAAACTTTTTGCTCAGCAGTGACTCAGGAGTGAGTAAACCACAGAGACAGGAGTAGTTCAGTCTGGGCAGCATTGCCCCCACACACTAGTAGTGCTGACAGGAGGTCTTACCCAAACCCCACACACCAGTAGTGCTGTTGGGAGGCCTTGCCCAAGCCCCACACACCAGTAGTGCTGTCAGGAGCCACGGCCCAAGCCCCACACACTCGTAGTGCTGTCAGGGAGGCACTGCCCAAGCCCCACACACTAGTAGTGCTGACAGGAGATCTTACCCAAGCCCCACACACCAGTAGTGCTGTTGGGAGGCCTTGCCCAAGCCCCACACACCAGTAGTGCTGTCACGGAGGCACTGCCCAAGCCCCACATGCTGTCCCGCAGGAGGGATGGCTCTTAGGCTCTCTCCCTCCTCAAACTGTGTGGATCATGGTGTCCTTCCGCAGTCAGGAGGGCGCTGGGTGGGATCCTTTGCTGTGGACTTTGGAAAGGAGACACTTCAAATCGTGAGGAGTAATGGCCAATGCAATACTGATCCCAGTATTATTAAATGCTGGTCTGAAACAGGTTTATTGTTTAATAGGCGATAACCTCACCATGGTTTCAGACCTTGTGTACCCCATGAAGAAGCAAGAGCTCTCTAAAGTCCTGTCTTTGGGAAATGTTTCTGGCACTATGCGCGCTGTGTGTAATAGCAATAACTTAGCTGTCCAGAAGAGAGTTGCATAATGCGATAGGAAGTGTGTGAGTGCGGGCGGCGCAGCACGCAGGCTGACGGATGCGGGGCCCCGCCGGGGCGCGCAGGGCACCGCTTGGCCCTGGGAACATATGGAGGGCGGCTCTCTGTGGAAAGCGTTTAGTCACCCAAAGCCACACAAATGTTCTTTCCCTTGGGTAGTGTTTTATTGTTATTACCAGCTTTCTAATGTGTATTTTTAAAGGTTTTTGCTTGGAGGTTAAAGCATCTCTTCCTTTTTTGTTGCCCTTCCTTTTTTGGAAGGTGTTTCTTCTTTCTGTTCATTTTTAACTAGTTTCAGTTCTCCTTCTAATTTATGCTTATTTTATCTTTCTAGCTCCCTGATTGCTCTTTTTAACTGGTTTAGTTGCAAATTTTTAGCAAACAGTGTAACAGAAATATTAGAAAAAAATGAAGTGTTTTTCTTTCACTCAAACGTCTTCGCATGAAGCATTTTCCTGGATAAAGGCTGTGTCCAGGACAGTAATATTTTAAGGGCTGGAAGTATGATGAGTGAAATCTTGGCTCTGAAGTAGTTATTTGGAAAGCTCAAGGACCAAATGTGTTATTTGTGTTAGCAAAGGAGAAATGCCATCTATTTTCCTCAAATAACTTTCCTTTTCTGCTGTTGGCGGCTACTGATGTTCAAGCAGTAGTGGCACCTGGATAAATGCTGTGTTAGTTAATTCCTCCTCTGGCAATGATTATTAGCTGTGATAATTGTATCTTACTTGCAGAATATATTTTTTGGCATGTGACTAGAACTAAAATCCTGCTGTTAGCATATATTACTACAAGAACACTAGTGATTGTGAAATGCCTTTTTTTTTTTTTAGCATTATGCTTACAACTGTGCTTTAGCCAAAAGCAGAGAAGTAGAGAACATTTTTAGCAAGCTTAAAAGTAGAAAGAATATTTGGGGTTTTGAAAGCAGTTAGATCATTTTCTTTTCCTAAGCAAGCAGAGAACAATATCTCAGCACTGACATATCAGTATGGCCTGGCAGTTGTATTAGGTGATCTCCAGAGGTGCCTTCCACCTCAACCACTCTATGATTCTGTGGACAAGGAACATGACCCCCTCGCCCTGTCCCGGCCCCCACAAGCCCTCGGATGTTTCATGTGGGTACTGTCACTGAGACGTGTCTGTACTTACTCTTCTGAGCACAGTGGTTGTGTACGGGAGCTAGGTTGTTCCGAATAGGAGTAAGAACTTTTATTTTGGATTGACCTGAGGACATCTGTTGAAATTTTTCACCTGTGAAATAAAAAGATAATCTATTACCATATGAAAATTTTGTAAATAATATGATTCACAATGGCTTTCATTTTATAGAAGAAAAATTCATTAGCATTACTCAGAAATATATGGGGAACCTATGACAGAAGAGATTTGTGGGGACTGTTGCTCTGTTCTGCTTATATTAATTTAAAAGAATGACCAGAAATTGTTTTGCTATTCATCTAATAAGACTATTTTTTAATATTACCTTCATGTATATCCTTATCACGATATACCCAGCCCCCTTCCTCCTCTATCCTTTGGAATCCCTGCTATAGTAACTGCTCTTAAAGAGGCATGGTCTATAGCTAGAGGGATATGCTGGATGTGAGAGGACATCTTAAGCAATGGAAGAGATGGAATGATATGGATTTGTTTAGGGAGCTGGGTGAAATCCACTTATATAGATCAATTCACTTATGTAATCACATACACTTACGTGTTCCTGAGCTGCGCAAGACAAACCTATGGGAAAAGAGCTGTAGAACCATTTCCTACAGAGGTATGAAATTAATTGTCAATTTGCAGCTGGCCAAACTGATTCATGTGAAAGGGGTTAAAATGGCATTTAAGAGACCAAAAAAACAAAAAAGTAACAGTGAACAGTGCAGTCCTCAGCTCAGCATGCCTTCTGGTCCAAAGCCCACGGCAGTTGGTGGATGCTGGATCAATCTATTGGCTGCTGTGTATAAAGCTGATGAGTTGTGGTCTAAAGCAGGAAGACTGCTTTTATAAGTCACAGACTTTCTCTTATTACAGATGAGCTGAGTGTCTAACAGAAATGGTCTTTTTTCTCCTTTTACTACCCTTTGTTTTAGTCTTTAATGCCTCTGCAAGGTTACTGTGAGGTGTGTGTAAAGGTGTATGTCTTTTATACATGTTGCACAAAGAAATACATATATCAATTCTAAAGCAGCAGAGAATCAAGCTGCTGCTCCCATTAGTACCATTTGAATTATATTGGTTTTATTGCAATACTTGTGATGAGAACTAATGGCTCATTGTGTATGCACCATTAAGGCTTGATGAAGGGAGGTACTTTCTCCTCAGAGGTACATTTATTTCATAACCAGGGATCTCTGGCAACAGAACAGAGTAGAAAGTGTTTGCAAGGCTTTTATGAATGCTTGGAAGAGAATCCTTGTCTAGAGCTCTGGCATCGAGTGCAAGTATTCTTCTGCTCTTCCTTCCTATCTGCTCCACATAATATCAAAGAGGATTTTTCTTTCTCTAAGGCATCATCTTTGTCACCCCCAAGAGTGTATTTGTGATGGCATTTGTTTTTGTATGAAATGGAAAGGAAGCATTTTCTTGGTTATAAAATGCAGGACTTCTCTGCATTTTATTAACTGATCTTTTTTACATGTTGTTACTTGATTTTCCTTCACATCTAGATATATAATCCGCCCCATTATGGTGTTTTGTGGGAAAAAGAGTAAATGTTACAATCAATGTTGCCCTGTAAATCAGCCCTTCACTTTGAGAAAGAAACTGCCACGTTGATCAGCTTTGCTCTATTCTCTTTCCTGGCCAAGAAGTCCTTCGTTTTTGGCTATACCCTGCTGCTCATGCCAAGATAAGAGTAATAATAGCCTCTTATTTATTTATTTAGCTTTACCTTTTGAACCAATTAAGAAAGTGCTGGGCTGTGGTACAAATTTACACTAAATATTGCCTTAGACCTGGCAGGTTAGCAACATAGAAGATGAGCGGGTGATGAAAAGCGGCTCCATATGGTTAGTGGGTGATAAAAGCTACTTGTTCTTCCAGACAGGCCTCCTTTTACCCCTGTCACTTTGAGTGTCTCCATTTGCAGTGTTTTCCCCATGGTAGATGTATGATAGAGCATTTTGCACAAAGAGACGACTGCAAAGCTCAGAATAGCAAAATGCCTCAGCCTGCAGATGCCAGTGCAGTGCTGTGGCTGGCAAGGACTCATCTCCTCTTGCAGTATTGGCAGTAATTTTGGGCCATTGTTCTCCCCAGCAAAGGGCAAAATAAAGTATTTATTCCAAAATACAGCAGCGATGCCATAGTCGAGGCCTCACTGCTACCTACAGCGGCCTCTTCCTTTCGAATCAGTGTCAACTCTCAGCTAGTAAATTGACTCATCTTTCATTTCAGGAGCTCAGAAAACAGAACAAAAAAACCCTCTAAAACCCCATCTTTATGCCAGCTGTCTTAGCAGCAGTAAGCACAAAAAACCCCTCTGACTTTAATAAAAAACACGGACATATTAGGTAATCAAAACCATGTCAGCTGAGAAAATAAGTTGTAAAGTGACTTCTAGATTACTGATACGCTTTGGCCTGCCGTAGGTATTCAGTGACTAGGAAGTTGCATTTATCCACCACAGCCATGACTTGAGAAACAGGGTATTAACACTTCAGTGCGCATCAAGCACCAGATGTTCTTCCCCTCAGGTGGGCTGCAGCAGAAAAGCAAAGCGGGAGGAAACGCTGGTGTGGAAGGGCTGGTGCTGCTGCTGGCGGGGCCGGAGCAGCCCTTGCTCTGCTCCCGAGCCCGCGGGGCCGGAGCCACCCTTGCTTTGCTCCCGAGCCCCCCCTCCGTGTCCTGCGGTGCCTGCCCTGGCATCCGCAGCCCCCAGACCCACACACGAAGGCTGTCCAGGTGCGCGGCAAGGCAGGCGGCTCCCACGGCCGGCGCAGGTGGATTTAAGCCACGCACAGAAGTGTGAAGAGGGATAAGCGGCTCTTTTTATCACAAACACTGTAAGACAATATCTGGGTTGTGCAATGTGTTCCTGTCAGATGCTCTCTGTCTGTTTACATACTTTTATTTTACTCACTTCACTGGAAGCCCTGTATGCCAGCTACGGGAAGCTTTTTATTTTTGGAAAGTTTGTTAGAGGGAGGGAGTACACAGAGAACTTGCAGCAGACTCAACCTCTTTTTCTGAAGCAAATAAACTATCAGAGATAGAAGGAGTTATTCTTCCTTTGCACAAAGGCAGCTCCCATTGTGACCATTAGATTTTCCATAATTTATACGATTTTGTTCTCATCCATTCCTATAGATTATTGTACCTATACTGAGCTTCAATGCCAACTATGGAGCACTGAGCAGATGTGCCTGGATAGGGCTTTTTATCTTAGGAGATTCTTAGAAAACCTCCTGTCCTTCCATCCAGAACAAATGAGGATTTAACTATATCGTATTCTAGATTCTGAAGAAAAGTCTGTAATCTTAGCTTAAATAATGCAATATGTTCTTCCCCATCAAATGTATTCACAACCTACCAGGTAATTCCACTGAGAAATGTTCTCCCATAGTCATCCTCAGGCCTGGTTCATCCGGTTTAAGTTCATTCCTCCTACTACTGTCCACAAGAATGATCCGAGATGTCTCAGCCTCGCTGGGCCCTGCGATAGTTTGGTGCAGAGAAGCCCTGCAGGTTTTCCTGTCTGCCACACGTGAGCCTCACGCCAGAGCTCAGGGAAGAAGCAGCTTTGCTGGAGCAGTCCACCACCTGCAGCCTGGGGTTCGTGTGGCTGGAGGAGTGGCTGAAGACAGCACAGTGAAAAGACCTACAGACCACGTCTATCAACTTCCAGGAACCCTCTTATTCAAAAAGTGGAACTTTTTGAATAGCTCTCTTTCATTTTTACCCTGAAAACTTGCTTTCAGACTTTACTTGCACAATGTAAAATCACTTGGCATTCTGAAATTTCCTTTTCTGTTCTCATTATTAGAGATGTGAGCAAAGGTCTGCTGCTTGGTAGGTCTCATTGCTCAGAGGGCAATGCAGTTAGCACTAGCATCCCGAGCGCAGAGTGATCTGGCCTAACAGAAAGGGTTTCTCCTCTTCTTTTCACTGGAGGACAACTGCTGATCTGTTGGGGTAAGAGTGGATTAACTTCTCCTGCATAATGTTTGCCCTTAGTAATGGTGTTCTGATGGCTTGGGGGATTGCTTTCACTTGCTTCATTTTGTTTGAGTATCAGGGTGGTTGGAAGGCATGCTAGCGCATGTTTAGTTTTCAGCATGTGACTAATCCTAGTGGAGATGAAGCTGGAGACACTGGTATGCTGAAGTAAATTTCTGCTTAGAGGCCAGCCAACCAGATTCATTTAGACATGGATAAGAGTCAAGCTCAGTACTAGATCCCAAATCCTGCCAAGCCCTGGTGCACGGTTTGATTCAGTGTTCTGATGCTCAGCTTCATTGTTGTTCCAATGCAACTTCCAAACCACAACGTAGAAGAATTTATTCTGCAAATTTAGCAACCTGAATTCAGCCTCGGAAAAAATACAGCACATTAAACCCAAGAGCTTTGCACTCAGGAGAGGGAAGGGGGTGACACTCCAGCCTGGAGCCAAAACCTGTCTATGAGAGGAAAGAGGAGTGTGCTGTGCAGCACACGTGGACGCCCTTGACTGAATCCAGAAACCATTCTGAGCACGGCTGCAGGTGTGAGTGCAGCACTCGCCCCTTGCACATCTAGTTTCAATGTTAAATGCAGACACAAGGCAGCAGGCATGGCAGGAGGCACTCCCGTCCACTTCCCAGAGCACCTATGGGACCTGGAGGCACTTCCCTTCCTCAGGTGTGGGTACGTTTCCTACCTACCTGCATTTTTGCTGCTAGGCATAATCAGATCTACTCAGGTCTCCTGCTTCCCACATCTCAGCTCCTTGCATCAGCTGCCAGCCAATGTCCTGTTTATATATTATTTATACATTTACTACATACAGGGAGAGGGCACTGAAAAAGATATTTGAAAAACAGAAATAACCTATCTCAGACTTACCTATTTTTCTTTACCCAGCTTGCTACATCAGTAGAGATTAAAGGATATGGGAGACAGAGAAGAAAGAAATTACCTGATGGAGAACTGGGAAGTGAGGGGAGGCGAGGAGGGCACAAAAGCAAGTGGTGGGATCTGTCAGAGCTTAAGGCATTTATCAGTTTGTCCGAAGAAGCTCTAGCACAGACTTTGTAGGAGAGTATTTGGTGAGAAGTTGGGTTCCAGGGGTCGTTCAGCAGAGGCTGGCAGCTGCTGCGGTGGTCTAGCAAACTGTGTTCGCTCCTACCCTTTTGAGACCTGCCTGCAAAGTGGTGGCTGCTGGTACTGCTGGAGCAGAGACCCGAGGCCGGGCTCTGGGAAGCCGTTAGGAAAGAATTGCCCACAGTGATTGGGGGCAGTCTCTGCGTTCGAATGGGCAGAAGTCCATTACACTCTGGTTGCTGCTTTTCAGATATGAGGTACCTTTTTGTGTCTGTGCTCCTTCTTTTAAAGTCAGCAGTGGTCATGCAGTCATCTGGAATGTCTTTGCAGTTTGTGTCCATAATGCAATCAAAAGTGGTGATGATGTCATCTACTTCTGAGGTCTCCTCTCCAGGGTATCTGTCTCTGCTTCTGTCTTTCTGATTGGTTTTCTGATCCTCTCTCTTCTTTTTGCAGGAGAAGATGTGGTTCAGCATACTGAATCTTCCTTCTTTCTTTAGGAGTCTGTTGTTCCGAGGGCGAAACTGATAAACTGGCTCTGATCTATTGATAGTAAAAATCAAATTCTGATGTCATTATTTACTAAATAACAAAACAAATATTGCCTGCTTCAGCCCACAAAATCAGGTACATACTGTCCTGATATATTTGCAGGTGTGATTCAAGCAGGCAGAAAGTGAGGACTCTGCATTTATTATTAAAAAAAAATGTGCAAATGGCAACATCTGACTTTTTCTTTTTATGGGGTCCATTGCCTTTATCTCATCTTACGGTGCAGGCTCCATGCAGCTATCAGGAAAAAAAAAAAGTCTTTTCTGGCTTCAGCATCTACCATCTGCAGAATCATTATTTCTAATGGTGAGTCAGGAGCCAATAATAACAAGAAGAGCACGCTGGGATCTTTAAAGCACTTGGTCTTTGTATTATGTCATATTTGGAAAATGGTATTTCCAACAACACAGGCATTGCTAACCCTGTGATAGAGGCAATGTTCAGCCCAGAGAAGTCCCTGCCTTCTCCTTTTCCTCGTCTCTCCTCTCTCTTTTTTCTCTTACAGTACTCTTAGGATTTCTTGTGGAGGTCACTGATCCATGTAGTGGGCAGGTCTGGCAGAATTTCCGAAGACCGATGAAGATAATTACCTAAAGTGGTGTTGCTGCAGCAGGTTTTAGATGAAATCTTTGACTAATATTCAACATCTCAGACCTATTCAGATAGGTCGAATGCAGCAGCAGGAGGAAGAGGAAAAAAAGTAACTTTGGCCATATCTTATCATTTGTAACACAGGAAATAACACTGGCTGCTGCCTGGAAAGGAGGGGGAAGCAAAGAAATCACAAGGAAAACAAAAGTCTTTTTAAGTGAGCACGCATTTACCAAAACTGGAGATTGGAAATTACTAGGGACCGCTGAGAAGTCAGAAATACAGAGAGAGAAGAAAGTAATAAGCAGTGTTTTTTGTTTATTTGTTTGCTTGTTTAACAGAAAAGATGTGAAAAAAGAGGTGGCAATCAAGAGAACTAAAGATGCGTAGGAAAATACCCCCAAATCTTAACCCTGAGATGAGAGCACGATAAATGTAGGTCTGAATATTTATATTACTAGGTAGCTGTCAAAACTGCTCTTGTGTTTAGTCAAACCCATGTCTGATCACATGAACAAACAGCTAGTATATAGGGACTTTTAAAAAAAGGGGAGAGCATATGTCTGAGGTCTGAAATTGACCTGTGAGATAGATTTGGTGCACACAAGTGACACTGCAGCAGCTATACCTACATCGTCTTGATTCAGACCCCTTCACTGACTGGCAGGTTGGTTCCATACGAGCAGTAATGAGTCCGTCAATAGATTACTAATGCTAACATGGCTATTTAGGGTAAACTGAACTGAGCATTGCGTAAGAGCTCATCGAGAGCCCAAGCTCTTCAGTGGCATGTAAAAAGCAGGACCTTTCTTTTCTGTCAAGGACAGCATGTGAGCCAGATGTGAACCTGTGATTGATTTACCTGTTCTCCTGGGAGAGCAGCTTGATGCAGGCTGTGTGCCCACAGTACACGGCGTATGTGAGAGGGGTGTTCTCGTTGATGTCCCGCGGGCTGCTCTCTATGCCCAGCTCCAGCAGGGTCTGCACACAATCAGCCTTCCCTGCTGCTGCAGCCCAGTGCAGAGGTGTCCTAGGGAAAAGGGGAAATGTCAGTCATGTATAGGAATAATTTTACTGTTGGAAACATTAGGGACACAATACAGTGCGCTCCTATGCTGCTTATCATGCATTTGCAACATCAATTTTAAGGAATTCTGCAGTCACTTGGGAGCACTCTTACATTGCTCCCAGTATTTCCCACTATTGGGAACCAGCAGAGACCAGAGGTGGTTCTGGTCTCCAGAGGACCAGAGCTTAACATCTATCCATGTGCATCTGTTTAGCTGTAGTGAAGCATCCAGCTTCAAAACTGTAATACTTTACTCTTACATCACTACCTACTTTTTTTTTAAAATATAAAAAAAATGTATGTATCATGATGAAAACTGCAAGAATAGAGAATAAATTCTCTCTGCCAGTCCCTTGTAAGCCCAGTGATTTTAAGACTGGTGCAGTTGGAAAGATAATTGAATGAAAATCTATAGTGTATTTATAGTGAACAGTTTTATCTTTTTCTTTCTTCAAGTACAATCCCTCTTTTGAAATAGCTGAGAATATGTATTAGAAGGTCATGTCTTTATTTAATTCTCCAATGTAGTTGGACTCTTTCTTTCTCTCTTCTTGTGATAAAAACAGAGCCTTCTCTACTACTTTTTACTGTTACTTAAACTTCTCTAGAACCCTGTTGACTTTATTTCTGTTCCATTTTATTGGACTTCTCCATGAAGAATGCTATTATTTTTATTACTTGAAGATCTAAGCCAAGAAAACCTTGGCTTATGCTCCACCGAGCAGGATATGTAGCACAGATTTGATGAAAGCATCAGAACTGCAACAGTCAGTTCATTCTATTTCCATTAAATAGACTTGGGAGCAAAATTCTACGGGAGACTGGTACGGCATGTAAAAGAGGAAAGAAGAGGACTCTTCTGCACTTATGATGCAGGGATTTCATCCTGGAGACGAGAATGAGAATGGAAGAGGAAGGTTCTCCAGGCCTTTAGAAATACTATACTAACATCTCTGTTTTAACAAGGGAATTTAACCATTTGTTGCAAACGGCAGCAGGATTCCAGCCTCAAGCTATAGGATCCTGTTGTATTGTTTTGAAAAGAATAATGTAATGAAAAGAATAATTTTTTGATGGAACAAAGTTAGGTCAAGCAGTGATGAGGTCTTTTCCCACAAAATCTTATCATTTCCTACCAGGAGCACGAAGTTCAATAACATTCTGACAAGTCAGTTACTATGCTAGACACAAGGCAAGTGAGATGGGCTGCTCTGCAGGGCGGCTGAGCTAGCAGCGTTCTCTGTGCATTAACCAGGTCACGGCTTCTGCAACAGGAAATGTGATTGCAGAACAAGCAGGTTAATAGAAAGGAAGCATCAATTTCAGTGCGTTTCCATGGTTACCTGTCATCCACATCAAGGGCCTGCAGGTTGCACTCCGGGACTTTAGCCAGCGCACCGATAATGTCGCTGTAGCCCGCAGCAGCAGCAATGTGCATGCATGTTTTGCCATTCTCATCGTCGTAGTTTATTATCGATGGGCCCTGGTAGTGGTCCAGAATGATGGAGCACAGAATCCTGTTGCCACTCTGAGAAGAAGTCCACAGAAGAGCATTTTACAGTGGAGCTCACATGAAACTGCATTGTGTCTGCAAGAAAAGACTAACTGCAATAAGGGTATTTTGTTCTGTCTATACCAGGCTCCCCAGATAGGAAAGCCAAAGGCTTCCTGTCTCCTGCTGGGAATGGGGCCTTTATGATTTTCCTAGAACACTGTGAACATTGGAGAAATAATAAATATTTCCAAAAGTTAAAGAGTGTAAATTACTCAACAGCCTTCTCAGAAATAGCTTTATTTTTTTTTCCTCTGTTTTGCTAAGCCAAGGTCCAGAAAGATATGGCCTGTATTTTCTCACTAAAATGCAGGATTGGAAGAGAACTCAAAAGAGCAACCCACCTCTGTGAGTCTTTCCAAGTGTACCTAGAAAAGCAATGCCAAATATTTGCTTTAGTGGTTCTTAAAAAAAATTTAATCCAGCTTGTGCCAGTACTTCAGTGTCTTAACAGAAAGTCTATGCTGTTCTCTAACCTTCAAACGAAACTCAGTATTTTGTATTTTATCTCAGTGTGAATAGAGAAAAAAACAAACAAACTTGATTCTAGATGCTCTTCTTCATGTAACAATAGAGAAACACAAACCTGAAAGGTCTTTCTAGGTCTTCAGATTCTATCCCTGCAGACAGTGGCATCTATGTCATATCATCCCTTTCATGAACACATTGTGTCCATTAAAGGCAATTAGTTTTGTTGTTGTTGTTGATTTGCTGTTTTTGTTTTTCTTATTACTCCCACTGGAAAGCAGTTCAAGAACTTGTTTGCTTTAACGATTAGTGTCTCTAATTCCTATTCATTACTAATGGCTGATTTATATCACTCCTGTTTTTACCAAAACTATCATTTAGCTTAAATAGTTCTTTCCTTTAGCTGCTATTTATTCTTCAGGTGTACTTGTAAATAACCATCATCTCTCTTCTGAGCTCTTCTCTTGCTGTACTAAATAAATCAAGATCTTTTTAGTTTTCCTTGTAAAATATGCTCTCTATTTCTCTGATCTACCTACTAACCTTTTTTCCTATTATGTTTTGTGTGTAGATTCTTGGAGAAGGATGATTAAACTTGTACATACTGGTACATACTGGTACATATCTTTATACTTTGGCACTAACTCTTCCGGATTCCATTTAGAAACAACCTTGAGGATTTGTCATACAAGAGTGTTTGCCTTTTTCACAGCTGCATCCCGTTAGAAGTTCCTAGTCATTTTGGATGACATGAGGTACTTCTTCAGTCATTTTGAAATGTAGAATTTTTACTTTCTAGTTTCTTTGTTATTAGAACCCAAGTGAATGAGTTACGCATTTTTGCTATTAAATTTTGTCCTGTTTATATTACTCCAGGTTTCTACTTGATCCAAATTTTCCTGTGTCATATTCCAATCCTCTTAATGCCACCCAGTTTATTGTCATTGGCAGATTGTATCAGAAAACACATATATTTTCTATCATGTTGTTATGAAAATATTAGGCACGATTGATTTCAAGCCTTATCCATGAAGGTAATTTCCTTCCAGCCTCTATTTATTACTACTCTCCCCTTCTTGATCTCTGAGATACAGCTTCCTTGGCTTATTGGTACTTTTTGCTATTATTTTGTAAGATGTCTACCTATTCCAGACATATCTTTTAAATAAAGTTATCCATCTAGGTATATCTCAAGCCTCTTTTACACATTTTTTTTTTCTCTTCTCTTGGGATATGGATTCTGCTATTTTAGCAGCAGTGATTGAAGGCCTTTCAGACTGTTTCCAAATACAAGCTCTCAGTTCAGGTGACTTCAGTAATGAACTTCCTTAATTTATCAAAAATTGCCCCTTTGAAAGCAAGAACTTTTGTTTCATGCACTTTATTTATTCACCAAATGAGTTGAGAGTCTACTCATGATGATGCCCTCCAAACTTTCTATGACAGGGCATTCTGTAATGTCCTCAGTAACCTGTGTTAACACTGTTACCGGTTCTTCTTAGGTGTCTGAATTTCTGGTGGAAAAGATGTTGCTCTTCATGTATTGTATATGTAATGCCCAATACCTGCACCGTAGAAATAATAGCCCCTTTTTAAAAAACAGTCCCTTTTTAAAAAGCTTAAGTCCTGCATAGAATTATTCTTCATTACATGTGTTTTTTACTCATGTCAGAGGAACTGTAGTCACATTCAGGACTAACTGAATTTAGAAGTCTATTGTATATTTCTAGTGCTATCACAGTAAAGCATATATTACCATCCAAGTCACTTCTGATGCAAAAAAAAAAATTATTAACGTGAGATATTTTATGGATTGGAACAACCTATTGCAAGATATACACATGATGCTACCATGTCTGTTATTTTCATCTGTCCCTAGCAGTATAGACCTATTAATACTCATATTCTAATGGCACTACTACACCTCTAGTTTTATATTATCCTTTTAAGCCCAAATTTTGTATCCTGCACCTAAAGCTTCAGCCCCTCAATAAACTTGCACAACTCCTACTATTTGCATAAGAACTTTTCCACTGTTCTTACTGGCATTTCTTTTTATATTTACAGACTGTTCTGTCCCCCGCAAGCCTTCCATTTTCTAGACTAAACAAACCATTCAACCTCCCTTCATGGGTCAGATTTTTAAGCCCACTTAAGGGTGCTTGCCTTTGGCTTTGTTCCAGTTTGTCTGCATCCTGGCTCAACCATGGCAGCCCAAACTGGACTTAATTACCCAGCTGAGGTTTCCCTCCTGCCATTGAAAATGAAATAACTACTTGCTGTATCCCACATGTATCACACTTCCGTTAATGCATCCCACAGTGATGTTTTGATGTTTGCTTTGCATCAGAACCATAATTTAAACTGCTCCTCACTAAGTCCTGCGTTCATTTCTTTCATGTAACACCTGTCCTGAGAGTTATTTTATTATTGTTCATTCTACAGTTTATCAAGATCACTATGAATTTCAACTTCTCTCCTTAAGTGCTGAGCGCCTCTCTACTTTGTTTTTAGCTGTGGGTTATATACATGAGTTCTGTATTTCATCACTTAATTATGGAACAAATAAATTCTCAAGATAAATCCCTGATTGGGTGTTGATGAGATGTCCACCTCTGAAGAGTATTCAAATTGTCCTCCATGTTGCTGATAGTGAATATATGATGTATGGCATAAGTCCACAGCTGATTTTTGATCGTCTAGTCCCTTCTAGTTCATCCCTTATGGGAGACCTCTCTTCACATAGCACAAGTGATTTATTGACATTCAAATGCATTCTGTCCAGTTCCTATATGCGAGAGAATAATTGCACCAAAGATGGCTATAAAGATTCTGTCCTGTTCTAATAGTTTCAGTGATTTGTTAATTATACTTTTCCTAAGTAATCAAAGTGTGTTTTCTAATATTTTGAAGTTTCTGCTGACAGAGATCTCTGACCAGCTGCCATATGGCTTTCTATCTCTGTCTTCTCAGGGATGTCTTTTTATCTTCATTACTTCTACTGGCTTTTAGGTTGCACAAAAAAAAATCTTGAAATGCTTACATTCCCTTATTCTGAGATTGATAGCTTCAAGTTGAGGTCAATAGAAGTCTTCCTGTGGTAAATTTACCATGAACCCACAAAACTATTGTTAGAACAGCATGTTCAGTGGTAAATTTACCATAGGAAAATTGCTTGTTTTTGCAGTCTCTGCTATATGTATCCTTATATTTCATCTCCCTCCACTGTTTTTCTTCTTCCAAATTCTTTTCAGCAACTTTCTCAGAGATTATTAGATATTTTGGTTTTGTGTTTCTGGAGTGTTTTGCCCCATAATTACCTCTGATTTCTTTGGACTTTTGTCCTATCCCACATCTTTCAACGAGCTTTTCTTTCTTAGGTCACTCATATTAATTAAACATGCTTCATGAAGTGTCCTAAAACCTTGGTCATGGAGCCATTGGCCAGGAAAACTCTCATTGTGCTTTACACAAGCTTTTGTCTGAGAAAAATTGTGTTATATGTGGGCAGTGGCTAATAACAGATTCACTTGCGTGCGGATCATTAGCTCACATTTTCACTTGACTAAAATCCCATTCCTTTAACTGGTTTATATGAAGTTCACCTTCCGATAGTTCCATCTCAGTGCTTACAAAATAAGAAAATATTCCTTCAAGAAGTATTCACCACATCGAATACCATGTGGAAAATCCTGCATGTTTGGGCTGCTTTTTTCATTAGGACTTTTTTTTTTCACCTATACCTACTCAGTTTATCCTCATGTTTACTGTAGCTGTTTCTCATACTTCCTGCCTTGTGTATGTCCCCCTGGCATACAGAGATGGGGTTTTCTTTCTGTAGCATTCATTGTCCCTTAGGTAAAATCCTGCCATAACATGGCATTTTGTTCTGCCAGGGCTTCAGCCTTACATAGTACAGTGTCTTCTATGTTCACTGCGCTGTACAGAGGGTTAATTTTTCCCCACCTCGGAATATTCTGGTGAAGCGGCTTTTGCAGTGCCAAAGAGAAATAACGTGCATATGTAAGGGAGTCTGCTAAGTTGGCTTGTGGCTAGCAGTAATGCAGCAATGGGAGGGAGAGAGGGGCAAGTTATGGACCACTTAACTACTTCCAGGAAACCCTGACAAAGTATTTTTCCTCCCAGTGAATGCCCCTGGAGATTATGTGGTTAGATTGTATTAGTTCCTCTATATTTTCTCTCTCTTCTCATGAGTGTGCAACTCAAAGTCTTCCCATACCTAGTCAGCTTTGCTGGATGGAAATTCCCCACTACAGCTCTTCATATTACTCCTTATCAATGTCAATCCACTTCAGGGCTGTCAGTGTTCCCTATTCTTCTTTCTTCCCTCCAATTTCAACTCCATACCCGTGAATCCAAAACTTTGACTTTCTCTTTGATGCTATTCTGCTCTGACAGCCTAAATGACTTGCCATTTTGACCACCATTTCACTGTTCTCTGCAGCAACAAGCAAATACCATTCCCACTGCACTACTCTGGGATCTAA